GGGGGGAAGTTTACCGAACCCCTTTGAATAAAAAGCTCTGGTTCATGCTGCCTCTTTGAAAACAACGCCTGCCTGAACACATGGATCAAATGGAAGTGGACGTTTTAGGGATGGCTTCTCATCTCGCAGGCTAAGAACGGAGTTTCTGGACTGGGGGCCACTTCTTTCGGCCTCAGCTCAGATGGAACGCTACAGCCAGCTGGGGTGAAGGGTGGGGGAGGGATTGCTTATTTTACTCACCAGGCATCTTGTATTCAGCTATATTCCCACGTGCTGGCACTCCCTGGTGCTGCTGCTTCACCTTGCACGCGTGGATGGACTTTCAGGAGTCTCAGGAACCCTTAAAACTCAGCAAAGGGATGCACCTGTGTGCATTGTTTTTAGCTTTCATCAGATTCTCAGTGGGGTCTTTGAATAGGAACACCTGCTCTTAAAGACCCATATTCCAATAATCACAGTTCTGCAGCAATAGAACAGGAAGTTTTCAGAACTTATCTGCCATCCCTTCGTGACAGAAAACCGAGGTTCAAAGCCAGTGAAGCAATGCTCTGGGCTCACTTCATGTTTGGAGTACAGGGAACCCCCAGCCTCTAGTCTGGAGGAAGCATCAGTTCTGAAACAGTCTCCAGACGCCACGAAAACCGGCAACTGTCCAGGTTCTGTAGAACGTTGAATTTGCTGACAAAGAGCCTTCAGACAACAGACTTAAGTAAATTTCTGAGCCTCCGTTTACAGGTGATGATCCATAAAACGGGCTAAATACCTACCTCGCGGGGTGATGTGTCCTGTAACCTGCCTGCTCACAGGACAGTGTTCCGTGTGCAATTAATGCGGCTCCCAGAGCTGTTCATCTGGTTCGTCTCCACTGGGAGAATCTAGCCTGCTAGAGCAGTACTTCTCAGACTTTAGCGTGCACACGAGTCACCCGGGTATCTTGTTTAAGTGGGGCCTGGGAATTTGCATTTCCAAAGCACTCTCAGGAGATGCGGATGCTCCTGGCCCGGGGACCACACTTTCAGTAGCGGGATACTAGGAGATGGTTATACTGGGCATGAATAATGTAATGCTGAACACATTAGCCCTGGCTTGGGCATTTGATCTCATAGCCTAAGGAAGGAAAACACCCATAAAGACGATGTCCTAGAGACACCTGTAAACAACAACCAACAAAAATATCCTCCAAAGGCCCAGGCTTTGCACCATTTTGCTGTTTATTTCAAGTTTACAGAGAAGCTTAAACATCTGTGGAAAAAACACCAAAGGCTTATTTTTCTCTTAAGTTCATGTACTTTTTAAGTGATAAATACACAGTATTTAACTTTGTACACCTGATAAAAGGAAAATGCATAGTAGAAAGGATCAGGAATAAAACAGAAGCATCGGGCATTAAATCAAACACAGAATAGAAAACTCAGCAGTCCCACAGAACTTGGCCCATAAAGCTGTGAAGAGGATGGGAACCGACGACCTGGAAACATTCCCTAGCACCTTGGAAGCAAGTGGAGGTCATGGTTCTTCCTCGCCCAGCAACGCAAAGCTCCCCTTTGGAAGATGAGTGAGAGCAATAGGTTGAGCCTGTGTGTCCAAATGCTCAGGTATTCGCCTCCTTGTTCCAAAAGGGCTTTTAGGATGGGAGCCCTAACTCACAGGAAAGACCAGACCCTGGGAAGTCAGCCTCTCCAGCCCCCAGAGCCAATGAGGGGCTAGCTAAGGCTTTCTGCGAGCCCCTGGTAAGCCTGCGGAAGAGACGGGGGCTGTGAGCAGGGCAGAGGAAGAAGGAGCAAGAACTAGCACAAGGGCCCAGGTTGCTTATACCAAATTGGTCCCATGGATGAGCCAGCAATGGAAGAAACTGATAGGGCATCCTTTGGCTCACCTAGAAAAGCTGCCCGTGACAGCTTCTCCCCTTTCCTGACAGAGCCGGCTTCTGAAAAATCAATGTTTGTGCTCTGAGAGAATGGTAGCTCTACACTTTATGGTACGGCCCTCTGCTTATACTTTCTGGGGGTAGTGATTCCTTCCCACAGCTTTCTTTGGTGATTCTTTGGAAAAAAAAAAAAAAGTTATGAATATGGGCCTCCCCCCCACCCACCCGCCTAAACAGCCGGCATTACCCATAGGAGGAAATCCAACATGGGGAGTTTCATGGTGGAAGAAACAGTCTTGCCTGATGCAGCTGTATAAACACAGAAGTTCTAGAACGCAGAAGCTCCACATGCTGCCCGCCCTCCCTGGGCAAGCCACTCGGCCAGGCCAGAGTCCACACAGACAGGCTGGGACCTAGGACAGGGTGACTTTAACTACCGCAAGGTGCTTACTGCAAACTAACCAGACCCCATCTGCTCCCAGAAGGGGTGTTGCCCATATATATAAACAAGCGCAGGAATGCAAGAGGAAGTACCAGGTTACAAAAAAGAAAGTAAGCAGGCCAGACAACCCTTCATCTGATGGGTGTCCTTTGCTCTTAGAAACCAGCATTCCCTAATTCTGTATCGTTTGCAAGATATCAAGAAAAGTCTGGCTAAATAAATGACACTCAAGAGCTTACGAAGATCTGTGGAAGCCAGTAACACTCAGGTTCCGTGAATAAACCAGGCAAGGGCAGGAAGGCCTTGCTTCACTGTCTCTCTCCAAGAAGTCCTCCTACCAATAATGATCAGACAGAAACTACAGAAAAGCATGGCCTCTGGACCCAGTTACTGACACTATTTCCCCCAAGCCAGAGTCCACAAAGCACTGGGAATTTCCCAGGGCAAAGGCCTTCTAGTTTTCCTCCCCCTTGAACTTCACACTCACCCGTGTCTGGCTCTGGAAAAAGTTGCACTTGAATAGCAATGAAAGTTCCCAGTATTAGTTGGAAGTCAAAAAGGTAAACCTTTTCTCTCTGGACTTCTGGCTACAAAACAGAACTCCCTGTGCCAAGCCCTGGTCCTCGTGGACCCTGAGGACTGCTCTGGGTGTCAACAATCTTCTCTAGAAGGGTGCCCCAGAGTGATTGGGTAGATCCTAATAGAACTTTGCCTGTCAGGATGAGAATCAAAGTATTTCATAACTGGCCCCCCAGAAACTAAGTGTTTCACGGACTACAACAATCAGCTAGTATTTAAGAAAACAGAACCTTGGCGTCTCTAGAATACACAAGTTACCAACAAGCTAAACTGCTAATATACAGGCAGAGGCTCTAACTGGGATCTAACATGCCTGAAGCCGGGGAACATATCCTGGAAGCTCGAAATGACCCCTGAACTACTCTAGAGTTCAGTCTTGTTAGAGAATTGAAAATATTTTGTTTACTCTTAAGCCATGTAATGTACATGGAAGTGTAGGATTTCACCCTGAAGTTTTTGTAATTTAACAAGAGATTTACCAGAGCTCAGTTAACTATTTCAGAAACCTGCTGTGACCATCAGTCCTTCAGGTGAACCCTTTCCCCCCTCCCCAAACAAGCACAGACTACCCTTCTGGGGGTGGAAAATCCCCCTTTGTGAAGCAATTAAGCTTCAAGCCCTTTCCCTTTTCCTGACTACAATTCCACCCATAAAAAAAATTAAGTCCTTCTTACAAATAAGTTGCATCGAAGCTCCCTGCAGCTACTGAGGGCTGGCCCTGCCCTGACTCCGTGAGTCCACAGTCCTGGAAGGTGCCAACTGGCTTGGAGTTCGGGGGTTTCAGGGTTTGTAGGAGGAATCACACCCCCTCTTCCTCTCCCTTTCAAACGCAGCAACTAACTCTGTGGTCTCAGCCCACACCGCCAGAGTTTTCTGCCAGTTTTTCATGATTTTCAAACCCCACACATTCACTTGGTATATCTGACATGGTTCTGAGTTCACAATGAAAGATTTTTGGCATAAAAACGTTTTAAAAAGCAATTGTCCCAAAATGCATGTGGCTTTGGGTCTGCAACTCCTCACACCTGCCCGTTCAGCCAGCCAGCGGCCAAGGTCGATGTCATGGAGTCAAGTCTTTTTTTTTTTTGTCCCCTTTAAAACAACAAAGGAAGGAAAAAAAAAACAAAAACAAAAACAAAAAAAACAAACACCAGAGATGACGGTCAAGGCTCTACACACGTGCTGGGTTTCCGTAGGACATGCTGCTATGGAAACGCAGGGTGCAGCCTGCATGCGAGGTCGCGCGTCCGGGCAGCTACTCCATCGCCTCGTCGGGCCGCAGAGGATGCATGCGTGCGCGGGGGCCGGGGGCCGGGGCCCCCCAACTCTCGGCGTGGGGACCGCCTTTCACAAGAGCACTTCCTCCTCCCCCACGGGGGGCGGGTCGGGGCCCCGGAGGCTGTCTTCGCTGCCTTGCTTCCTGCTCACCGAACAGAAAACCCACATTAAGGCAAGGCTGCCGTGGCCTGACCAGCGTCTCCCACGTTCCCACACCACCTGGAACGTCATTGACTTGGCTTTTCCTTCTAGATGCTCTCCCTTTTTCTTGTCTATATAAAAGTTTCAAAGGAGACTCTGTAACCCCCTCTGTGAATGGAAAAGCAGCATCATTTGCTAAAAATAGAAAGGAACTATATAAAAATAGATGCAAACCTATCCCTGTAACACCTCAAATCATCCCAAGTGAGTAGTGTGCCGCCAGCTTTGGGGCCTGTTCACGGGGTTTTTTTAGAGATCTTGATGGGTCCCCCACCCCACCTCAACCTTATTTCTTTACGTTAAGATTGAAGATTCTTCAGTCACCTGAAGGTGAGCTTCTTGAGGGGCAGCAAGCAGGCCAACCTGCATATGTCTGCAAATGGTGGTCAAGAGAACTGCCCCCCGCACACAGGCCCAAGAGACACCTTGGATGGAGAGAAGGCCCCTCCTCTTGGTGATGTGAGTGATCAGAGCAGAAGAGTCCAAGGAGGAAAGGCATCCCTGTGTCCCTGAGAGCCCATATCCTGAAGCTAGACCTGCCCGGGGGACAGACTGGGCTGTTATGGGAGCTGGGAACGAAAATCCCTGAGGAGAAGGCTGAATCCCTTGCCACCAGCAAGAGATGACAGCCCCATCTAAGGGAAGCCACTGGGCTTGCCACATTGGACTAACTAACATCTGCTGTATGTCCCTGGCCAGGAGGGAAACTCTGTCCCTGCACAAGAGAAGAGAAAAGCGTGATGTCTGTACATTCCTAGGAAGAAACATCTCTTTGTTTAAAAGGCAAGCTCATTGGCTTTTTATGTTTCTGCCACAGAAGAGGGGGTCAAATCTCCAGGGAAGAAAGCGGTAACTAGATGTCAAATCAGGTCCCTCACTTCTGCCCTAGAAGCACTGCTTGGTCCAGCTGTCTTTTAGTGCAGATGGTCAGCTGCAGGCCTTGGGCCCCAGGCCTCCAACACCTGAATAAGCCCTATGAACTCGAGTTCATAGGGTCATCTGGACAATCGAAGCATCCCACCAGCAGGCTGAGGGCAAGAGCAGGTAATGCCCAGGTGCTACTGGGACTGCAGGTGAGGGAATAAAGGGGAACTAAAACCCTCTGGGCCAATCTCAGTCTGTTGGTATCTTGTGATTTTGAGTTCACTGAAAATAATGAATGACAGACTTGCACACAGATGGGGGAGGTCAACCCTAACACTTAAGGTTGAGAAGAAAAAGACCTGGCTGGTTCAGTCCATAGAGCATGCGACTCCTGATCTCAAGGTTGTTGAGTTCAAGCCCCACGTATGCGTGAAGCCTACTTAAAAAAAAAAAAAAAAAAAAAAAAAAAAAAAAAAAAAAAAAAAAGCCTGCTCATTAGGCTTCCACTCTGTCACCATGGCAGGTCAAGGAGTAGACAGGGCCACCCTGTCATCTGGCAGCAGAGAAATGGGGACCAACCTAGCAGGGAGGAGGCAGTCTCAGGCTGCCAACAACCGGCTGGTTGCTAACTGCCGCTTTCCCGGAGCGTAAACAGTCCGCTGCATGCCTATATAAGCCCTTGACTCCTGTGACACAGGTCATTCCATCTCACCAAACACAAATGGCTGCTGCTTGTATGTGAATGGTCATAGCAGCATTCACTTTGAGAGCCAAAATGGAAACAGTGTCCATCACTTAATGAAGGGATGTATAAAATGTGGCCTATCCATACAACGGAATAGAATTTGACCATAAAAAGGAATGAAGCACCGACACATGCTGAACCTTGAAAAATGACGCCGAGTGAGAAAAGGCAGACACAAAAGGTCACATACTGTACGATTCCCTTGATGTGAAATGTCTAGAATAGGCACCTCCATAGAAACTGAGAGTAGATTAGCACTGGCTGGGAATGGGGAGCTAGTGGTGATAGCTAAGGGTGCAGGGTTTCTTCCGGGGCTCATGAAAATGTTCTCAAATTGATTGTGGTGTTGGTTGTAGAGCCCTGTGAATATATTAAAAACTACTGAATCATACACTCTAAATGGGTGAAATGTGTACTATGTGAATTATATCTCAATAAAGCTGCTCTTAAAACACAGAAATGGCTTTCCAGTTATTGACCTGGAGCTCCCAGTTGAGAATGAGGTAGTGAGTGGAACTCAAAGGAAAGAACACTGGAATTTCTATCTTGCCACAGGCACTAGCAGGGTGAGAGGCAGCAGGGGTGCTGAGTGTGGACCGTCTCAGTGCACAGGGACAAAAATTCTCACCTGCCCTGGGAGGTGGGGTAATGCTGACAAGGCTATGTGTTTAGAAGATGGATGGCCAAAAGGGAAAAGGCTCAGATCCACCCAGGGGACAGAGGACTCTCACAAGGATTTGCAGCAGGCTGGAAGAGGGCTTATTTTCTAGGTCCTAACCCATCAGAGAAGAAAGGGTAGATGCTGGACAGCCCCAGAGCACAGCATGCCTGATCTAAGCTCTGACCACATGGACCCAGAGCAGGGGCAGCCATGGGACCCTGCGACGCAGCTTCAATGCCGTTGACGTGCACTGAGAATGTGTGGGTACCAGACTGGGTCATGAGACCTGGGTGAATTCACAGGCATTCCGGGTGGAGCGCCATGCACCCGCAGCCCAGCCCACATGCACGACCCGCCATCGGGTCCAAGCCCCTGGATGACCCTTGTTTTTATCCTAGGTCCCGAGGCCCAAGGTGAGCCTGGGCACAGCAGCCCAAGCTGGAAAGAGCCTCCGCCTGGGTGGGGGTGCCCCGCACTCTGCAGCTGCCCCCGCCCCCAGGCTCCGGCAGAGGCTACAGCGCAGGCAGGCAGGCATTACCTTGGGCTCAGACAAGGGCTCACACTCCCTGGTTGGTTTTTTGCTGGAATGGCCAGAGGGGAGGGAAAAGGGAAGTGAGAAGGGACACGGGATCTATGAGATGCCTGTCCCCCACCCCAGAGATACTCAGACCCCAAACACCAGCTTCACAAAGCTGCTGCCAGGGGGATATTGAGCAGGGCATCTCTGCTGTGACACACTGGGTCACATGAGAGAGAGGGCTTGCTCGTCCACCACAGGGCTGATAATCCCACCATCAAGCATGCATGCTTCTGGGCCACAAAAACACTTTCCGATTGTCAAGAGGTTCCCCCAGTTATGCAAGTCTCCCTGAGAAAGGTATAACTCCAGTGTGGGTTAGCAGTCAGCAAAAGGAGGTGGGCTGAGCCTGGGGTGGGGCAAACCCAAACCCAGCAGCTTCTCTGATTTCCTGGAAGGTCTGGTCTGAGTCGTTCCAGGGATGGGCCCAGGCAGAGGGGGCTGGGCAAGGCTGCCCTCCGGCTCCCCACCCCACAGGAAGGCTGGTGGATACTCACGTAAGCAGGTTTCCAGGCGCTGACAATGAGCGCTCCTCCCGCCGGCTGCCCTCAAACGGGTTCCCAAAGGAGCGTTTCCGTATCATGGTCTTCACCAGGATCTGAAGGAGAGAGGAGGAAGGTGGGCCACCTGGGGGAGACTCCAGGCAACAGCCTCCCTTGTGCCACCCCCCAGGTGCTAGCTCCCTCTTCCTTTCTCTCCCAGCCCCCAACAGCTCCCAGGGCTTGTGGCTGGTGACTGGCCTTTGAAACACCCTGGGCAGCATCCCTCCCACCCAGGACACAAAAGCCAAAGCCATCATCAAATCTGACTAGTCCGCACTCAAAACCATTTATGGCTCCCTGGCTGTCAATAAGATAAGGTCCAAAATCCTTGCTCTGACAGTCTCCTATCTTAATCTCGTCTTGGTCTACCTGAGCCCCAGGGGGACCCTGTGCTCCAGAAGAGCTGGCCTGCACTGTCCCTCCTCTTCCAGGTGTCCCTGCATCTGGCACCATTTGTTTCACCTGAGCCATCGCTGCACATGCCCTCCTGGCCCATCAACCTGTCTCATCTTCAAATCTGGGCCTTTACTTTCAGTGCAAGCTATCTATGACCACCCCAACGAGAAACCCAACTATTGTTTTCCAGGTCAAATTAACAAGGGCTGCACTTTTATTTTAATTGAAATATAATTCACAAAGTAGGAAATTCACCATTTTAAAGTGTAAAGTTTAAGGGGTGCCTGGGTGGCTCAGGCCATTAAGTGTCTGACTTTGGCTCAGGTCATGATCTCATGGTTCATGGGTTCAAATCCCGCTTTGGGCTCTGAGCTGACAGCTCAGAGCCTGGAGCCTGCATCAGATTCTGTGTCTCCCTCTCTCTGCCCCTCCCTCACTTGTATTCTCTAAGATAAATAAATAAACATTAAAAATAATAATAAAGTTGGGGCACCTGGGTGGCTCAGTCAGCTAAGCGTCCGACATTGGCTCAGGTCAGGATCTCAGTTTGTGAGTTCGAGCCCTGCATAAGGCTCTGTGCTGACAGCCAGAGCCTGGAGCCTGCTTTGGATTGTCTCCCTCACTCTATGCCCCTCCCCTGCTCACACTCTGTCTCTAAGATAAATAAACATTAAAAAAAAATAATACGGTTCAATGGTTTCTAGAACATTCACATCACCACTATCTAACTTCAGAACATTTCCTTCACCCCAAGAAAAAAAAGCAGTACCCACACCCCATTTCCCCTCCCCCCAGGCCCTGGCAACCACGGATCTGAGTCCTGTCTCTGTGGACTGGTCTATTCTAGACATCTCACACAAATGCAACCACACAGTGTGTCTGGCTTACCACACTGAGCATCATGCTTTCAAGGTTCGCCCTGTTGCAGCTTGAATCAGTGCTTCATCCCTCTTCGCTGCCAAAGAACATTCCTTTGTACAGATAGGCCACATTTGTTTATCCATTCATCCACTGGTGGATGTGGGGGCTGTTTCCACTTTTTGGCTATTGTGAATAACGCTATGAACATCCAGGTACACATTTTTGTGTGTGGACATGTTTTCCACACAAAATGCTTTCATTTCTCTCGAGTACACACGCAGGTGTGGAATTCTTGGATCATGTTAGGACCATGTTCACATTCTGAGGAACTGTCAGGCTGGTTTCTACAGCGGTTACACCATTGTACATTCCCACTGGCATCACACAGGGTACTAGTTTCTCAGGGGGCTGCGTTTTAGTGCAGGACAGGAAACACCGACCAGGTCTAAGTTGCTGAGGCAGCACCCCAGGGCACCGGGTGGTGTGGTGGGAGGGCGACAGAGCTGAGAGGTGCCAAAGGTCCATCCATGTCTGAGAGGCGCTGAGGGCAGGCTTGTTCACTGCCAGTAGCGGGAATTTGCTGGTGTGCCCCCTCGTCCACTCTAACACAGACCGGGTCCCCTGCCTGGTTGGCAAACACCTGCCTGAGGAGAGGATCCCTTGGGAAAAGGTACCGTCCCTCATCTCATCCCGCGGCCCCAGCTCAGCTCCCTTCCTCTGCCTCCCTGTCTTCTGCCTCACCCCTACTGATCTGTCCCATCCTTTCCAAAACCCAGATCAGATTCCCTCACTCCCTGGCTTAAAAACTTTCACCCGTACAACTCTGGAAATTCTACTGTTGCTGGCCAGAGAGCCAAGGAAGGTTCTGGAGAAAGGAAGCGAATTAGTCATTTTTGGTGATGCTTTTGGCTGCAGTGTCCTGCAAAGGAATTTTCAAGGAAAAGACTTCAGCCCCCTGAAAGGCTCTAACCCCCACCCCCTCAAGCAGAACATGGTGCCTTTTCAAGCTGTTTTATGTGCTGAACTGTTTTTGTGTGTGTGCTGCTAAGAAGAAATCTAAGCATTTTTTAAAAACCCACTGATTTACCAAAAGGTGGAAATACTCGGCATCTGAAAAATGGATAAACAAAATGCGGCCTATTCATACTACAGCATATTCTTCAGCCATGAGAAGGAATGGCATGCTACGAGCCGGATGAACCTCAAAAACATGATGCTGAGCAAAAGAAGCCAGACACAGAAGACCACATCCTGTGTGATTCCACTGACACGAAATGCCCAGGAAAGGCATATCCAGAGAGACAGAAAACCAACTGGGGGTCGCCAGGGGTCCGGAGGAGGGGAGAACAGAGTGACTGTTAACAGGTACAGGATTTCTTTGGTGGGGGAAATGCAAATGTTTCAGAACCAGAGGTGATGGTTGCCCAATACTGAAAATATAATAAATGCTACTTTCTTGTTCACTTTAAAATGGTTAATTTTATGTTACATGAATTCTATGTCGTTAAAGAAGAAAAGGAAAACACAGACTTAGAAAATGAAGGCTATGCCCTGTGGCAAGACACTCATGGTGCCTCCCTTGGGACTGTGTTCTGTGGCTTCTGGAACACACCAGCCCCTTCCTTCTGTGCCTTTGCCGGGGGTGGTCCCCTGGCAAGACCACCCACCCCGCCCCTCCCTGTGGCCTTGTCAAAGCAGCCAAATTTCCCAGCCCTCAGGACCCAGCAGGAGGGGCTCCTCCTCTGTGCAGCCTCCACTCTTGCTTCTCTGCGCTGGCCTGTCACCACATAATGGCACAGGAGGGTGATTTTTCCCACTCCATCTTTCTTACGAGGCCAGAAGCCCCATGAGGGCCAGTGCTGTACTCCATTCATCTCTGTAACCCTGTGCCTGGAACACACCGGGTGCCAGGAGGGGACTTGGACCTCCCCACTCCAGCCCGCGCCCTCGGATGACTACAGTAGCCCCTACTTCCTCCCTGGTGCCTACGGTCCATTTTCCAAGTGGGATCTTTCCAAGGCCAACTCAGATGGTCCTATTCCCCTGACTCAAATCCTGCACGTGCTCCCCACATCCCTTGGGACTAAGATTTAAGTCTTGGCTGTGGCCTCAGGTCTTGTGTGGGCTGGCCCCACCTGCTGCCCAGACTCATGTCACTGTCCCCCCACCTTCCTCGTCCTGCCTTGCTTTCTAAAGCTTCTTGTGGGCCTAGCTTCCTCCCACCAGAGGATCACCACGTTTGCTCTTCCCTCTGCCAGGAACACCCTCGGCCCAATAGTACCGTGGCCCAGTTAACACTCTGCCATCTTCTCAGTGCACTCCTTCTTCCAGGAGGCCCTTTTCCAACCCATCACACTGGCCACATCCCCCTCTTAGGGCTACACAGTGCCCCTTAGGGGTACACATTGCAGCCCCCCTGTTACATTATACATTTATCTATTGGCTGTTTGCCCAGCATCTGTCTCTCTAGGACAGAGGATGCACCATGTTGGTTTTACTAATCACTGAACCCCCTGCTCCCAGACCCCTAGGGTCCGACATCTTCTCCCAAGAACATCTCGGGCCTGGAACAGAAATAACCCATGGTGGGCACCTGGATCGGACGCCAGCTGCCTCCCCAGCTGTGGGCACAGGACATGGGTACAGTGGGTGGATGAGAAAGAGTGAGTGTGAGTGAGTTTTAACAGTGAAGATCATGCAGAGGTCCCAGGTCAGGGAGGAGGAGGAAGATGTGAATGGATGCCCCACCCCAGTGGCTCAAGTTTTGGAAGAAGGAGAGAGAAAGTGTGTGGGGAAGCAGGAGGGAGAAGTGCAAAGCTGGGAGAGAAGGAGCCAGCATTTGGACTCCTAGAGGGGCATTTACTTGAGGCCAGACACTGTGTCTTTGTAGAAAGTCTCAGCAGTCCCCGGCCAGAGCCCAGGGCCCTGCCTGCCTGCTGGGGACGACGTTGGCCAGACACACCCCAGGGCTTTCAAGGTGGCCATAGTGGGGAGGATTCTGCCCCTGGGACTGCAGCCCTGACCCCAGGACCTTGAGGATACTGGTCTCCCTCCTGGAGCCAGATGCCCCCCTAGGAAGGGAGGGGATTGGCAAGTGGGCGATTCCCAGAGTCTCCAAGGTTAAGCCTGAGGATTCCACATTCTGGCTCGTTTTTCCTGGGTCAGAACCCAAATGTCAGGCCATAAAAGGGGCCCAGGAGCTCCTGAGCACATGAATTGGGAGCCCATGCCCCTAACCCTGGTAGCTGCCCACACAGCAGATGTGAGATTAGCTCAGCCGTCCACTCTGGAGCCTGAAGAGCCAGCAGATACGAATCCCACCTTGGAGACCTCAGCTTTAACTCCCACCCCTGGCACCTGCCCTGGTCCTCCTCCTGCTCCACCTGACATGCTCTGAGAGCAGGAATTCCAGAAGGGACAGTAGAATCTGTGGAGAGGAGCTACCGCTCTGCATAGTAACACAGGACCTGTCTGGAGACAGAACTAAAGCTACAAGATGCAGGGGCCTCCTGGTCTGATGTGTGTGTGACCAAGGCTGAGAGGTGGCTGTGGGTGAGGGACAGACCCGGCCATCCCCTGACTCTCAGGCCCAATATCTGCTTCTCAGATGCCCGCCTGTGTCCCGGCCTGTCCTCGCCGGCCCGCCTCAGGCTGTCCCTCTGCTCGGTCAGTGGTCCGTCCCGCCTTACCACGGTCGCCAGGCTGGGAATGTGTTTGACCGAATTCTCGACCTCCTCTTCGGTCACCTCGACCAGCGTGCAGTTCTCGTCCTCCGATGGCAACGGCTCCGCCCCGTGCCTCGTGACCCAGGGGTGTAGCTTCAACGAATGACAGGAGGGGTGAGGGGCAGGCGGCCAGCTCGCAGAGGCCGGAGAGCAAAACCAAGGCCCTGCCAGCGAGCAGAGCCAGGGAGGAAATGCGGGAGGGCAGAGGTGGTGGCCTGAGGTCAGGCATGCAAGAGAGCTGGCAAGCCAGGCAGAGGGTGGGGGGTGAGCGAAATGCGAGGAAACGTGGAAAAGACAGAGAGACAGAGAATGGGAAGGAGCCACCAGGCCGGGGTATGCGCCAGACTGCATTCTCCAGCTGGCCCAGGTCTTGACAGAAGTGATCAGATTCAGCATCTGCCTTTCATGGTGCCCAAGGAGCACCCATCACCCCTCAGCAACTCTCCTTCATGCCCGGAAGGCTCTGTTCAGAGTAGGCAGATCCTCCCCATTTCACAGAAGGGGAAAGAGAGGCTTGGGGAGGCACAGTGAGACCACTTAGAAGGACACAGTCAGGAAAGGACCCAGGCAGGGGTCTTTCCCATCCCACTACCCACCCCTGGGGTCCAAGCCCTTATCTGTAACCATTTGGCCTCCCTCTCCTCAAATGCTAGTTAGCTAGATGCCTAGGAGTTCCTGAAGGAAACCTCTAGATTTCTTAAAGAGTCAGATATGTGCATGTATATGGCATTGGCCAGGGTGTAGTGGGTGCACAGGGGTCTCTCCTGACAGTGCTTTCTGCAAAAAATGGAATTCAGCAGGTTCTGGGGGTGTCAGATTGCTCACTAATTTCCTTCTACCCTCACTGAGATTCTTCAAAGGGATGGAGAGGGTCAAGGAAAGGGCCCAGGACTTCAGCAGCCAGGGTGTGGAGCACACAGAGGCCCCAGTCTGGAGGGTGGATGCCATCAGCCCAAGCCAATCGGAGTGAGCACTGGCTGCCCCACTGACAGCAGATCCCAATTCCACGATCACAGTGAACATGAGTACAAACCCTCCTCCCCACACCCCGCCACCACCAGCACCTAGCGGCCCAGACACTGAGGGCATGGGAGGGCAGTGGTGCCAAGAGGGCGCAGCACTGTGGATGGAGGGGCGTGGGGCCTGGCCGAGGCAGGGTTGAGCCAAACAATTCCAAGCAGAGGACATAGGCCAGACCCCTGGTGCACATCCCATGGCAGAGCGGTGGCCCCCAGGTACCTTGATTTCTGGCACCACAATCCTTGATTCTGGGTTCTTGTCCAACATGCGGGTTATCAGGTCCTTCAAGTCCTCAGCTATGTCAGGCCTGGGGGTGGAAGACACATCAAGGGTGGAAAACATACACAGGACCACCAAGGGCTTGGTGAGGAAGATGACTTGGGACAGACAGGCAATACTCACTGATCTGGAAACTCCAGGGCCTGACTCTTGATCTTACTGTGTAAACACATGATCCGCTCGTCCATGAACGGGCACTATGAAGAGAAGTCAGGGACAGAGTAGCCGTCACTGGCTGGCACATCAGTCTGCAAGGGCTGCCACGTGCTGGCGTCACTCCACATGGGTTACAGCAGAGAAATAAATGTCCCTGTAGCAGCCCAGTCTAGTGAGGAAGCACTTCCCATGCCCCCAAGTTCTAGAAGAACCAGGAATGGACTTCCAGAAGGGCTAGAGCCCTTCCCAATCACACTGTGACTTTCCTCTGTAGCTGTGCTTTACTTTACCTACTCATACAGAAGCAAATACTCCTCCCCACCCACCTGCCCAGGAAACAATAAATACTAAGAACAATACATAAGATGTAGCAGCAACAGCAGTGACTGGTGAGGGCTTAACCTGGCCCAGGCACTGTACTGACGTTTCTCAGAACCAATACTTCATTGGCTGCCCCTCTGCCTGAAATGTTCTTCCCACCAACAACTACATGGCTCATTTTCTCCCATCATTCTGATCAAAGCTCACCTTCTCAGGGAGGCCTTCCCGAGCTCCTATCTAAAGCACACCGTTCCCCTCAATGCCATGTGATTTCTCATCAGAGCACCTATGCCTGACGTTATATTACATTTGTATTTGCTTATTGTTTAATTCTTGCACTGGGAACATCAACTCCAAGAGGGCAGGGATTTTCATCTGTCTTGCTTCCTGCTTATTCTCCAGGGCCCAGGAACATCCCTGGTGCAAAGTAGCGTTTTGATAAATACCTGTTGAGTTAATGAATGCTTAAATTATTTCTGATGATGCTCTCAGAGCCTTAAGAAATAATAAATACTCTTCTCATTTTACAGAAGAGAAAAACAGAAGCTCACAGAAGTGGCATGTCTTAAGCAGTGCAGAGCTGGGATTTAGTCTAGATTGGGCTGACTATGAAGCCTGTTCATGCACCACCTCCCAGGTGACAATCAATGCTCTCACTCAGTGGAGGACCTGACCCAGGAGGAGGAGCTCAGGTATCGTGCTGGAAAAAGAAGCCTTTATGTGGGGTGCTCAGAAGGTTGGAAAAGGTCACAGAATGGGACCTGGTCCACTCCTGTCCAAGGAAAATTATTTCATTAAGAGCAGTTACTTGAGATCAGAGTTTGGATTACACAGGTATATCCATTTGACAGACTCATCATTAACCACTTAAGATCTGTACATTTCATTGTATGTAGATTTTACCCCAAAGCGGGGGTGGGTGGGGTGGGGGTGGGGTGGCGATGGGCAGGTGAGAACCACAAAAAACTTATGAGCTCTGGCTGATGACTGCATCCTGAAGCATATGGAGGAAGTGTAGAGATCTTAGCAACTTACTCTAAAATGCATAAAAAAAAATAAGGTTGAAGAAGGACAGACACGTGATAAAGCAAGCAGCGTGAATTGTTTATGGTAGAAGGCAGGTGTGGCTGTGTGGGTGTTTACCACAGTTATTTCAACTTTGCTATATGATTAAAAATTATCTGAGCAAACACTGGTAGGGAAGATATTATAAACTATGACACCAGTTTCTTAAGCTTTCCTCAACAAAGCCACAAGTTCATGGACAGGAAAAGTCCACGTTTTTATTGCTCACATAATTAATCTGAACTTCAGAGTTAAAAACTGAAGTTCCTAAAAATCAATAATATAAAACAACAGAGAGACAAGACAGAACTCCCTAAATCAATAATGACAAATGGATTTTCACTTCCATTCCAATTCTATCCCTCCACACAACAACTTCTGGGAACACTGCTGAGAAGCACATCAAAGCAGTCCTAACCTCAGGAAGAAAGAGGGCAGCTATTGATTTGTGATATGGGTCTCTCGTTCAGGACTGGGAAGAGAGCACATTTGCGGTTCTTGCCCTAACTTCATCAACTATTTACCACCTCTGGAACCTCATGCTAATTCTTCTATTTTAACAGATCATTCTTCACAGATATGACTACTACATACAGGCAGGTACATTTGGAAAGCCATCCTTTCCATATTCAGGTCCAACTGTGGAAATGGAATGATACAACTCAATGAATAAGCAGTCTCCCTGCAAGGGTAACTATTAACCACAGGGCCGCCTAGCAACACTCAGGACACAGGACACCCCACCCTGTTACCTGACCAAACACAAAGCAGTACAGCGTCACACCCATGGCCCAAACATCCAAAGCCTGTAAGAAAAAGAGAGCTTCGTGTAAGGGAACAGGGGGCAGTGAGGGGTGTCTAATGCTTCTGCCCCGCCAAGAATCAAAGCTTCTTGCCTTCCTCTAAGGAATCACCCCTTCTTGACTCCTGATCCAGGGAGTTAAGGTGAGACTGATCCCACCCCACTCAAGCCTGGCCAATAAAAGCTTCACTTCCCCCAGCCATTGTGATTGGCTTAAGGATAGGCACATGACCCAGGCCTGGCCAATAAGAGCACCACTTCCCCCAGCCACAGAGATTGGCTCAAAGATGGGCACATGACCCCAGGCTGAGCCAATCAGAGCCAACCCCAAGATTTTTGCTAGGACTCTTCAGAAATAAGAATGTTCTTTCCTCTGAGGTTGGTAAGCTGATAGAAAGTAGCCTGGAGCTGTAGGTGACCCACCTACCTGGGCAGAAAACCAGTTCAAGAAAACAGTTGAGAGATGGAGAGATGGATTTCTGACTGAATCCCCGTATCTAGCCAAGCCGGATGCCACTCTTCATCTACATGATCCAGTGGATTCAGTTTAAGCCAGTGTGAGTTGGATTTTTGCCCCTTAAATCAACAGAGCTCCGCATCTCAGGCAGGTCCACACCTACCTTCCCAGAGAAGATCTTCCGGGTCTCTGAGAGCGACTCAGGTGCCATGAAGGCAGGTGTGCCCACGGTGTTAGAGAGAAGCGCATCACTGCCCTTGAACTCGTTGCTCACGCCAAAGTCGGCAATCTTGATGTGGCCATCTTCTCCCACCAGCAGGTTGGAAGGTTTGATGTCCCGGTGGATGATCTTCTGGTAGTGTACTGGGGATAGGGCGGACACCAGACGGGAGAGGAGGCAGGAACACCATGTGAGGAGCTCTATGAGGGCCCACGGAATCCAGAAACACAGATATGGACCCCTCTGCTCTCTCACAGCCCCAGGCCTCTCCCAGCCTCCCCCTCCCAAACCTGCTGGATGCCCACAGCTTTAAAAGATAAGGGAGAAAGAGTGTCTTTAAGGAAGTTCTCCCATCTTCAGAAAGAAGTTGTGGAACACTGACTGCCAATAATAATTAGTAACTGCCTGCTAGTCTAAATTGTGGGTGCCGACGGTGCATGGAGAGTTTCTGCTGAGTCTGGCTGGCTTCCAGCTAGAAGTCTCAAGACTTGTGACAGTCAAACATATTTTCACCTACTAATGCCAACACTCAACCTGCTCACCACACCAACAATGACTGGAGCCGATCCAATGGAAGTGTGGGCCACAAAATAGGATTGGGGACTTGCTTAACTTGTTCCTGCCTGGATGTCAACCCATAGGAGAGAACAATCCTACAGTCTGGAAGACTCAACTGCATTTCTTTGGTGGTAGTGGTGATGATGATGATGGTATCAGTAATAGGGCCAGCAGGGCGGCACCTGGGTGGCTCAGTCAGTTAAGTAATAGGGCCAGCAGCTCCATTTGTTGAGTGCCCAGTCTGGGGCCTAGCCCCATGTTAAGTGCTTCTCACGGACCCCATTTAAATCTCATGACAATACTACGTGATAGGCCAGGTTAAAGGACAAAATGTTTAACAACCAGAAGCAGAAAGGACACCTGCCAATCTGAACTACTAATATGTACTGGCTGATTTCAACCTGGTGAGAGATACTTTATTCCCATTTTACAGATGAGAAAACTTAGGTTCCAGGAGGTTTAACAGGATCCCTATCCCAGGGCCACTGGGAATAAGGGACAATGCGAATAGAGCCCCTAACAGTGCCTGGTACACACAGAAAGTGCAAGGGAAAATGGCCACTATCGCTATTGCTCTTAATTTTTGTGGCAGAAAGAAGGGTTTCTGCTCATCAAGGGCATGGCTTTCCACAGCTGTCCACGACTGCATCTCAGACAATTCTGTTTCCCACCCATCTGCCTGCACTCCAGGAGGGAAATTCCACTTTCTCACTTGCCATCCACTAGCTGGGATGTTAACCACCCCTGACTGAGATTCCTCCCACAGGCCCCCGCTTACGGTACTCTATGCCTTTGATCAGGTCCTGGAAGTAGAAACGGGCCTGGTCCTCAGAGAGTGGTTTAAGGGTGGGCACTTCCATCACAGGCCTGAAAGGTCAACACATGCATGAGAAGCAAACCAGACACACTGGCCTTTGCCCTCTTTCACCAGCAGAACCAAGCACCACCTCACTCAAGAAGCTCCTGCAGCTTGAGAAGTTTCAGGCGTCATACCCACCAGGAGGGGGGACACTCACCCTTGGTTGACCAGCTCAAACACTGTAGGGAAGAGAAAGGGTAAACTGTTACATTGGGAAACTGGAAATCCACCTTCCACTTCCTCCTCTACCTCCCAAATGCCCATAAAAACACCAAGAAACACAGAAATGAATATTGGGGCCGGGGAAAGGAACAGTCCACTCAGCCCAAACTGGTCAAGGTCTTACTTAGGAGACTAGGGGTCAGAGATTTCTGATGTCCCTGGGACCCCCAGTCTGGCTGTACTTTTCATCCTCAAAACAGCCAAGGACCTTACAGCCAGGGGAAAACAAAGCAGGCAGATGGGACACAGGTGGGGATGGCTCACGGGCTCCTTTCTTCTCTCCACTCACACCTTGGAGATTCCAGGCATACAAGTGATACTAAACTATGTCCTCTTAAGTCAGGTCCCGAGACACCTTATGCCAAAGAACAGGTCTAAGGGGACACAACCCAATTTCTCTTTACTTAGACACAAAGAAGTAGCCCTAGGGGTCTTCAGAACCCCTGGAAAGTTTGGGTTCAAGAAACAAGAACATGTTTGGTTCAAGAAACTCCCACCTCCTCCACACTGCCAGGCTGTGTCAGGCTACAGACCAACAATGCTTGTAGATTCTTCCAGCTCCTCAACACCCCACACTTGGCACCATCAGACTCATCCCCGTGGCTCTCGATCCAAAACAAGACTTGGAGCAAGAGGTGGGGGTGGAGATTTCCTCACCCTTCAAGAGCCCATCCCCTTCCTCTTAAACAGGTCCCTGCTTGGCTCCCATTCACGCACAATGTGCAGACGACTCCCACTGTGTGAGCTTCTTCCCAGTCCTGTATGTGTGTGGGATCCCCGCTCCAAACCACCAAGTTAGCTAAGCTGTGTTCAGGGAATGCACAAGTTGTTGTTGGGGCTTTTTGTTTTGTTTTTTGCATTTTTAAAAACAGAGGTGAGGGGCGCCTGGGTGACTCAGTCGGTTAAGCGTCCGACTTCGGCTCGGGTCATGATCTCACAGTTCGTGAGTTCGAGCCCCGCGTCGGGCTCTGTGCTGACAGCTTAGAGCCTGGAGCCTGCTTCAAATTCTGTGTCTCCCTCTCTCTCTGCTCCTCCCCCGCTCATGCTCTGTCTCTCTCTCCTTCAATAATAAATAAAAACATTAAAAAAAATTTTTTTTTTAAATAGAGGTGAAATTTCCAAAACATAAAATTAACTATTTTAAAGTTTACAATTCAGTGGCATTTAGTGTTCACGGTGTTGTGCAACTATTGCCTCTACCTAGTTCCAGAAAATTTTCACCCCCTCAAAAAGAAACCCTGTGCCCATTAGCAGCCACTCCCCTCCTCCCAACCCCCTCCCCCACAACCACTAACCAGATTTCTGTTCTACGGATTTGCCTTTTCTGGAAATTTCACATATATGGAATCATATGCTAAGTGACCTTTTGTGACTGGCTTTTTTACTTAATGTTCATCCACACTGTATCACGTGTCAGTACTTCCTTCCTTTTTATGGCTGACTAATATTCCACTGTGGATATGCAACATTTTGTGTATCCAATCATCAGCTAACAAACATTTGGGTTGTTTCCACATTTGGGCTATTGTGAATAGTGCTGCTATAACATTCATGTGCAAGTACTTGGGTGGATATCTGTTTTCAGTTCTTTGGGGTGTAAATACCTAAGAGCAGAGTTACTAGGTCATGTCTCATAGTTATTTTAATTTTGTCCTGCTTGAACAAACATAACTGGGACCATGAAGCTGTCCTTTAAGAAGTGAAAAATTCACACAGTGAATTTCAAACTCAAGTGGAAAAGGACTCTGGAGCTGTCTGTTGTTCTGAAATCATCTACCCACTTTGGAGTTTCTTATAGAAGAAACCAAAAGGTTGTTTCAAAGATCTCCAAGGGCTAAGGTGGTTGAGGGAAAAGAGCCAGCTCCTCAGATAAAAAATAAAGCTTAGGGGCGCCTGGGTGGCTCAGTCAGTTAAGCATCTGACTCTTGATCTCAGCTCAGATCTTGATCTCAGGGTTATGAGTTCAAGACCCACGTTGGGTTCCATGCTGGGTATAGAGCCTACTTAAAAATAAAAAAATAAAAAAATAAAATGGGGCACCTGGGTGGTTCAGTTGGTTAAGGGTCTGACTTTGGCTCAGGTCATGATCTCATGGTTCATGAGTTTGAGCCCCGTGTTGGGCTCTGTGCTGACAGCTCAGAGCCTGGAGCCTGCTTGGGATTCTGTGTGTGTGTCTCTCTCTCTCTGCCCCTCCCCTGCTCGTGTTCTGTCTCTCTCTCTCAAAAATAAACAAACATTAAACAAAAAAAACTTTTTAATAAAATAAAATAAAAAGGAAGCTTAAAGGTTCTGACCAGAAAGGAAGTTAACTCCCTAAGGTCCTTTCCTGTCTTCAGGCTCATCAACCAGTGTTGGGCAAACCTGAGCTGGGGCAGATCTGCCGTGGCTTCAGGCTGTGGTTAGAAACAAAAGCAATGGTACTGAAGGTAAGGTGTCCACAGACAGGAGCTCTGGTCCCCTCAGCTCCAGCCTATCCCACCTTCATTATGGAAGACTTGACTTTCAAGAGCTGCTTCATGAATTTCTGTGCTTATTCCCAAGCACCATAATTTAGTTGGCCTGGAAGAAGCCAGCCTGTTGAAACAGGTCTATTTTCAGTCACTAATAGTTTAACCCCCTTCTACGGCTGAACAATGGGTGGGGAGTTTTTAGCCTCTAGAAATACTGACCACACTATCTGGGGGTCAGGCCTGCAGCTGTAGGACCCTTGCTGATACCTGCTACCCAGTCTCATGTGCTACCCTGTCTATCCTCGACACACGTCTGTGCCTGGAAACTAAAAACTAACCATGTCAGGACTTTCACTAGAATCACATACCCAAAGTCAGGCTAGCTCCTTTCTACACTGCTGCCTCAAAAAGAGAAAAACTCTGTCGATGAAGTTGCCTGATTCAAATGGCTTAGGAAACTCCTCTTTCAAGCTTGGGTCAGGTTCTTTTTATACTCATTCAACTCTGCTCAAAACCCTCCAATGGCTGCCTTCTTGCTCACAGCAAAAGACAAAGTCTTACAATGGTATAAAATGTCCTCTGCCATCTGTTCCCCACTGTCCTGCACAAATGTCACCCTGGTGAAGCATCTCAAGGAGCCACCCTATTTCCCAGTCCCCCAAACTGGAACTCCTGGTTCCCCTGACCCTGCTCAGGTTTACTTTTTTTCCATGGTGTTGTCACCTTCAAAGGCTAAGCATAATATTTAAGTACGACGGTGTCCATCTGTCCTTATGAGAGCAACAAAGTGCCCTGAGGGCAGAGTGTTCTTTTTTGTTTTCTGATAAACCTAGAACAAATTATGTTTGTTGAATGAACAACCAAACTCCCCAGAAATAGACAAAAGCCATGCAGAGTCCTGTCAGGAGCCCCAAGTGAGCAAACTGTGCTGGGAATGCCATTCTGGGACAAAAATTATCTTTTATATTTTATGACATCTGCTATAGCTCCCTAAACTTCACTCATTTGCCTAATATGTTTATCATCTGGCCATTATGTACCACATAAACTATTATTTGTTTCATATTTTTCTTTAAATGACTCAGTTTAAAAACTCTGAGCTTTATCCTGGGTAATGACATCCATGAAGTCAAAAGTTATTGTGCCACTATAGTTTTTCCTACACAATGGTAAATTAAATCTAAAAAGGTTTTTTAAATGTCTATCCGTGTATCACTTAAAATCATCTCATATATTTAAAGTGGTGATGGTAGGGGCACCTGGATGGCTCAGTCGGTTAAACATGCAACCTCAGCTCAGGTCATGATCTCACATTTGTGGGTTCAAGTCCTGCATCAGGATCTCTGCTGTCAAATGCAGAACCCACTTCGGATCCTCTGTCTCTCCCCACCCCCCACCCCCCATTTATTCCTCCCCTGTTCATTCTCTCTCTTTCAAAATAAATAAACTTAAATAAATAAACTTAAAAAAAATAAAGTGGTGATGATACCACATTTGGGAAATATTGCAAGTCTGTATTGTTCAGAGTTTAATAATGTTTCTTTCTCACATAATTTTTTAAAGTTAACATCTGATGTTATTTACTGTGTAGCTTCTAAATTGTTTCTTCAGGAAGGTTTTTAAAGTTCTAAAATTTGAGGGGCGCCTGGGTGGCGCAGTCGGTTAAGCGTCCGACTTCAACCAGGTCACGATCTCACGGTCCGTGAGTTCGAGCCCCGCGTCGGGCTCTGGGCTGATGGCTCAGAGCCTGGAGCCTGTTTCCGATTCTGTGTCTCCCTCTTTCTCTGCCCCTCGCCCGTTCATGCTCTGTCTCTCTCTGTCCCAAAAATAAATAAACGTTGAAAAAAAAAAAATTAAAAAAAAAAAGTTCTAAAATTTGAACATGGAATGCACACTAGATGCTCTTAGGGAAATGAAGTTAACTTTTTCAAATGTAATAATGGTATTGTGACCACCTAAGAGAATGTTCTTATGTGAGATGCACACTGAAGTATTTATGGCCTGAAGTGTCAAGATGTATGCTAATTTACGTTTTGGACAGTACAGCAAAAAAAAAAAAGAAAATAGAAATGGATGGGTGCATGGCTAGACTGATACAGCAAATATGACAAAAAATTATTAACTGCTGACTCTGGGTGGAAGATATACAGGCATTCACTGTACTATTTTTTCAGCTTTTCTATAGGCTTACATTTTTCATAGGAAAAACCTGGAAAGGGGAAGAGGAGGGGGAATGAAAAATAAAATGTCCTAAGCTACAACATTCTCTTGGAACTGAACCACAGCAATTACATGAGGAGAAACTGAGCTGTTTTCAAACCACACCCATTCAAACCAGACCCCAGATGACCAATCACTCCTGTGCAACATAAGATTATCCCAGGATCATCCTCATGCTCATCCAGACTTCTGGATTCTAGGCTGGGCTTGGCCACGCCCACTCCCCTCACCTCCTTGGTACCCCTCCCAGCTGTCATCTGTACCCACTTGAAATGCACAGGCTCATATGAATGCCCACCAAGCCAAGTTGCAAGGACATATAACTATTGATCATGCATCCCTGGACCCAACAGTCTGCGGTCCAGTTTTGAATTAGTCCTGCCCTTTCTTCCTTCATCAGTACCTACAGTCAGGGCTCCCCCACATCTTCACCAGTTTTTAAAAATCAAGTCTCTGAGGACATGCCTGAGTCCTTCTGTTTCTTTGTGCAGTGCCCTCCAAGCCTCCGAATGCCCCACTGTGGCCTCTCAGGCTCTCCAACCTCACCCCCATCCCCTCTCCCTGGTTTACCCTGTCCCACCCACATTCTTCTCAAACACACTAAGCTCTCACCAGCCTCAGAGTCTTTGCACTTGCTGTTCCCTATGCCTGGAATGTTCTTCCCCAGATGTAACAGGGCTGTGTCTTTGACATTCAGGTACCAAATCATCACCCCGTATGTGATGTGGCCCCTCAGTCCCTCTCTCTCATGTCATCCTCTTTAACCTTCTTCAGAGGATCTACCTGAAGTTAACTGGTTTATTTAGTTGTTGACTATCTGTCTTCCCTGACTAAAATGTCAGCTTCTAAAGAGCAGAAGCCTCAACTTTCTCACTCACCAATGCATCCTTAGTGCCTTGAACCTGCCCAGCATTAGCAGGTGCTCAATAAATATTTGCAAATGAATAAACAGCCCCCCGCCCCATAAAGTCCCAGCAAGCACTCCCTTCTACCTCCTGCTTCAAAGTAAGGCAGCAGCCTCACTCTGTGGCTCACTGTGGGGCCCAGCCTCAGCGGGAAAGGGGAAGCTGTCTGTCCTTGGTGGGAGATGCCAGGGGCAGGGGTTGCTCGAGAGGACCCCTGAGCTTTGGCAGGTGCAACTGCCTGAGCAGGAGCAGAGGAAGGCAAGGGCTCTCTTACCCATGTACAGATGGTCCTCGTTGGGGTCATCCAGGACCTATTGGCACAGCCACATGGAACAGGCCGGAAACACAGAGCAGGGGAGAGGAAGAGAGGGAAATGATATGAGCAGGGGGGAAGCAGCAGCCACGGGACTGCATTTGCCACCAGAAGGGCTGTGCTTTCCACTGGCTTTCCTGGTTTAGATGAAGGGCACAGGAAAAAAAACAGTGTGTGCGATCCAAATGGCCATCTGGAAAATAAACACCTTCTAGCCCAATCCTCAAGGGTCCAAAACCTCCCCCAGAAAGGAGATTACAAAAAGGAGAGGAAAAAGTCCTCCCCTGGGAAATGGGGGCGCCTGGCTGGGTCAGTCGGTAGAGCATGCAACTCTTAATCTTGGGACCATGAGTTTGAGCCCCACGTTGGGAGTAGTAAATTACTTTTTTTTTTTTAATTGTTTTTAACTTCTCCCCTGGAAAATGTCTCAGCTTCAATAAGAATCCCCCCTCTCTCCTAGGAGACAATGGACTGATCCACAGGGTGAAAATTCAAATCCTGTCTGGGCTCTTCTGACTCCTCCATGAAGAGCCCCCATGACCTCCTGCCCCTGCAGAAAAGGACGTCTCCCTGCCCAGAACATCCATGGCACATTCTCTCTGTCCTCCTCTCATGGCCATCCTGCTTTCATCTCGTCATTCATTTCTATATCTCCCCCTCTCTGCAAAGGGCTGTATCCACCTCATTTGCCTCCGTGGTGCCCTGTACAGGACAAAGTTACATAGCAGGTGCTCAGAATGTCTGATGCATAGACTAACAGGCTGACAAACAGCCTTGGATGAAGAGTTCAGATGCCACAGGTCACTGGGGAGAGGGGAGATCCTGTCAGGACCCAGAGCCACTCACTAAACAGGTGTCTCTGGGCTTCCTCTAAGATGGGTGACTCAAGCATCAGTGAATTGACACTGTGAGACAGTGTGACAAGTGGAGATAGCCTGCAGCCACCATCTCTCTCCTTTGAGAAGAAACAAAGGCAGGCTCCTTGGCTGGACTGGTCTTCCCGCCTCTTCCCACAACATCCTCACCTTCCCCAGCCAACCAACATCCACAGGATGAGAAAGAGATTTACCCTAGGCAGAAGCCCAGGGCAGCCAACCTGGAGCCCTAAGCCCTACCCAGTGGGAGGAGCCAGACCCAGGGCCTGGCCTACCTAGAGCTCTGCACCTGACAAGCCCCAGTCAAGGCATGGCTGCTAACCCTCACACCCACCAAAGGCAGGGGTATACCCCCAAATAGAGGCCACCAGCCCTTTGCACATGTTGTTCCTCCCTCTGTGATGCCCTTCCCCATCTTTCCCTGTTGTCTCCATCCAGGGAACTACCGGGACCATCTCAAATATCCCTTCTCTTGAGAAGACTTCCTCAGCCATTTGGGTCGGCTGGCTGATGGCACTCCATGCTCCCGCAAGCACTGCAAACACGTGTCCAGTTACATGCTTCATCACATGCTGCTTATAAGTCCTGTCATCTACACTAGAGGTGCTCCAAATGTGGCTCGGGGACTCCTAGGGATCCCCAAGATGTTTTCCCAGAGTTCATGAGGTCAAAACTATTTTCACTCTAAAACTAAGATATTTGCCCTTTCCACTCTCATTCTCTATTAGTAGAGAAACCAGAAACCACATCACACGCGAGGTCACAAGAGGCTGAATGCAGAAGCAGATATGAGAATCCAGCCATCTTCTATTAAGCCACACATAAACAACAAAACTTTGCAAAAATGTAGAACTATGCCACTCTTCTCACCACAGTTTTCCAGAAAATATAGTTACTTTTCATAAAAATATATTGCTACATAATGGGATTATTGTTGTTTTTAAATGAATTAATAAATAATCTGTAACTTCTCGGTTTTAAATTCTGATGTGGCAAATAATAATAAATACAACCCACATAAGCAAAACTTTTTTGGGGGTCTTCAATAATTTTGAAGAACATACAGGAATCCTAAGACCAAAATCTTTGAGAACTACTGATCTAGAACAGAAGATGGCAAATATAGCATGCAAGCCAAATCTGGCCCTCTGCCTCTGCCTGTTTTTGTAAATCAAGTTTTATTGGAACACAGCCACATCCATTTGTTTACATGTATAGGGTTGCTTTTGTGCTAATATTATATATATATACAGTATACTTATATATATATAGTATATTATATTATAACATATATAAATATAGATAGAAATACAGGTGTGTAAGATACAGATATAATATATATATTATATCTATATCTATCTTATATCTATATATATAAAGAGACAGAAATGGGTAACAGGCAAGTTTCAGTATCCCTGTGACCCTCAATTCCTTTATCTATAAAATGGAAGTAATAAATAGTCTTAGGAAAGGGTGAGAATAACATGAAAGAACAGCAGTCAAGGAGTCGGGAGCAATAACTAGTACTCAGCCTTGCAATAAGCTGTTCAACGTGGTGCGGCTCTCCCTAGAAACTAGTGGTGTGGCATGTGGGTAATAACAGAGCCGAGACTGGACCATCACTACCCCTGCCTCCCTCCTCCCTGGCCCCCCAGCTCACCTCTACCAGCTTTACCACATTGGGGTGGTCCAGCTTCTTGAGGATGGCGATTTCCTGGTACACCTGCTCAATGGGGCCCCTAGGCTGGATGCAGCCTCCCGGAGCTGGCCGGGTGCCTCGGGGCGGGGGGCGACCTGGAGGAGACACAGGGTCAGGACAAACAGCTTTTCCCCTGCAGATGGCAGCTGAAGAGGGGGCAACCCAAGTCGGGGGTAGGGGGGGGTTTGCCAGGGATGGAGTGGCTGATGTCCCCAGGGGCCTTAAGGAGCCTGCTTGTCATCTGTCTCCTCTGCTGCTGGAAATCATTGAGGATGGAGACCCAGCCCCCTGTTCAACCTTCTGTTAATACCCTCCTTCCTGCCCCATGCCCCAGTGACAGGAGTCTTTGGGGCATCTACCTGGGCACTCTCTGTAGGGGACACCATTCAATGGGATCTTCTCTCTTGCCCCAGCCCTGCACCTAAGAACAAAGGCCTGGCCCACCAAACTCACGTGGAAAGCCTGCCTGTCGGATCAGCTTCTTTTTCGACAACACCTTCATCGCCTGTGGAAGACAAGACCCCATATCTCGGTTAAAATGGGGAGGAAGGGAGAGAGAGAGCTCCTTCCACTCCTAGGCCTGCCGAAGCTCTTGGTGCCCTGGTGGCCTCAGGACGATGTAGTGAGCGCCTCGTCATTGGAGTGGGTCAAGCAGCTGTAGGCTGGAAACTGAACTGCCAGGGTTCCCTCAGCCCTAAGAGTGCTTCCAAGGCTCCAGGTTAGCTTTCCTGACTGGGACCATGAGCCTTGGGACTCGCTACAACTAAATCAAGACATGAGTCAGCTGGAGTGATGGACGAGAGACTGGCTATTTTACACATGGGGAAACTGAGGCTCAGGTGTGATGTCACTTGGCCAAGGACACACAGCTGGCAAATGGGAGAGCCAGAATTTGAACCCAAGTTGGACTGACTTCCAAAGGCAAACGAGGGCAATTTGCCTCACTACCACCTGGTTCTTGGTGCTGTGAAGGATATAGAAATGGTAGCTCAGAGTAAGAATAGGAGACATTTGCTGAATTTATCCATTTTCTTTCTGAGCCGATCACTTTGCCTCCCCATTTCCCCATCTGTATAATGGGAACATCACTTCCTTCCTAAGGCACAAAATGAAACAACCTAAGGATAAAATGAGACAATAGCGAAGAAAATCTTTCAGGAAGCTAAATTCTGGAAAGGAGGGTTTTGCTTTGGACGAGGACAGGGATGGGGAGGGGGATGTGGATACTTACATAATAGGTATTGTCATTTTCATTGTAGGCCAACTTGACCACGCCATAGGAGCCCTGGATAAAGGGAGATGCCCATGACATACTATCCAGAAGTTATGATCTGCAAAATGAGGACCCTAATACAGGGGCTGCAAACCAGCAGCCAATGTACCAAATCTGCTATGCAATTACATTTTGTTGCATCTGCAGTTTTTAGAAAGTTTGAGTGAGTTGCCAACATTTAAAACCAAAAAGATCAGATATAAAAATCTAGATTCTCAGCTTCTTTTGAAAAAAATCAGAAGATTTGGCCATATGGACCCATAATCACCTCCACATGTCAACAGTTTGCCATAGTCCTCTCCACTCCACTCCACTCTCCACTAATACATTACACCTAGCAGGCTTTGTTCATTTATATTACTCACTTGCTTTCTATTGATATTTGAGTTCTTGACCCCTGCAATAACACTGCCCATTGGCTGAAATAAAAGCAAAAACAGATGCGAGAGTACCTCAGGGAGAAAAAAACACCACCACTAATGTTGGTGATATGTTATTCCCTTAAAGCTGTCTGGGCTTCTGTAGAAACACATTAATATTTTGATGTAAAAAGAAAATAAACCAGATGGACCAGTGATGGATGACAAAACCCTCCCCCACAACTTTGCCTCCAAGGACTCGTTCCCGCTCCCAGCTCCAGCAGGTTCCCTCCACCGTATCTGAGACATCCTTGGTAGATGCAGAAAACCAGCCTGGCTGCTCAGATATTTACCTTTCCAATTTCATCCTTCAGTGTGTACTGATTCAGCTGTACACAATCCTGCAATGTTAAGTAGAAACACACAGAATATGAATTGTAAGTTTGCAGCTAGATACATTTTTCACAAAACAAACACATGAACCAGGACCCAAATCAAGAAGAGAATATTCCCGACCCCCTGAAGCATCTCTCAGACACTGGCCCGTCTCCAGGGTGACCACTACCCTGACCTTTAACAACACAGATTTTGTACATTGTAAAAAATATGGGGAGCCTGAGTGGCTCAGTCGGTTAAGGGTCTGACTTTGGCTCAGGTCATGATCTCGCAGTCCATGAGTTCGAGCCCCGCATCAGGCACTGTGCTGACAGCTCAGAGCCTGGAGCCTGTTTCAGATTCTGTGTCTCCTTCTCTCTCTGCCCCCTCTGTCACTCAACCTCTGTCTCTCTCGGTGTCTCAAAAATGAATAAATGTTAAAAAATATATATTTAAAAAAATGTGATCATACATTATGTACTCTTTTAATACACATTTTTAAAGAGGTGTTCCTAAAACGTTGATTTTAAATTAAACAAGTAATCCTATATAAGGACTATGTTGTCCAATATAACAGAGTAACACAAGTGGAGAAAATCCGAGTGACTGTGGGCAGAGAATGGTTTCTTAACAAAATTTCTCAAAGATTCTTTTTGTACAAAAAGCACAAAAAACTCATTAATAACAACACCCTAATTTAAAAATGGGCATGGGGTGCCTGCGTGACTCAGTCGGTTGGGCGGCTGACTTCAGCTCAGACCATGATCTTGCTGTTTGGGAATTCTAGCCCCATGTTGGGCTCTGTGCTGACAGCTCGGAGCCTGGAGCCTGCTTCGGATTCTGTGTCTCCCTCTCTCTCTGCCCCTCCCCTGTTCATGCTCTGTCTCTATCTCTCTCTCTCAAATAAACATTAAAAACATTAAAATGCTTTTCATAAACATTAAAAAAATTTTAATTAAAAAACAACAAAAATGGGCAAAAGACTTGAAAAGACAGTTCTCCAAAGAAGATATACAAATGATCAGTAAGCACATGAAAAGACTTTCAAAAAAAAAGAAGAGGCTTAACATCATGACTCATTGGGGAAATGTAAATTAACACCATACCCATTAGATTGGCTAAACTCCAAGACTGACCATACCAAATGTTGTCAGAATGTAGGGCATGGAGAACCTTTATACACTGCTAGTAGGAAGTTAAAATGGTGCAGCCTCTTTGGAAAGCAAGTGGGTAGTTTCTTAACAAACACCTCCTCTATGACATAGCCATTCTGCTCCTAACTTTATCCAAGAGACGTGAAAACTTGTGTCTGTGCAGACTTGCATACAAATGTTTGAAACAGCTTTATTGGTAACAGTCAAATACTGGAAACAACCCAAAAGTCCACTGACAGGTAACTGGATAAACAAAAAGTGGTCCATTGCAGACAATGGAATGCTAGGCAGCAATAAAAAGGAAGCATGCAGTAATAAAGACAAATCTCAAAATTGTTATGCCATCAAAGAAGCGAAGCCAAAAAAAAAAAGAGTGCATACTAAATGATTCCACTTACAGAAAATTCTTGAACTTGCAAACTAATCTATGATGATAAAAAGTAGGTCAGCGGTGACCTGGGAAAGGGGAAGAGGGGGGAGGGATGTGTTGTCGGGTGTGCTGGAAATGTCTGTGATCTTGACTGGGGTGATGTTTTTAGAGACGTATGCATATATCAAAACTGATCATATTGTACACGTGAAATATGTGGTTTGTTTTACTTCAGTTACACCTCAATATAGTTAGGGGGGAAATGTGAAGTGAAAAAAGAGGTAAAAATGGGAAAAGAAACACAATAGAAAATAAAACTTCAAGTGTTACCGATAAGCCCAACACTTCCCTTGAACCCCACCGCCACCCCAATTCTAACCCTTTCCCCAAACCTTGATGTCAGTTTGGTGTATAAACTTCCAGGCCTTTTTCTATGTAAATGCACGCATACGTGCACCTGTTGAAAATACAGAGCATTGTTTTGGGATAGGGCTTTGGAGAGGCAAAAATGATGTCACACTAAATCACTTCTCAACCTCTTTTCTCACTCAACATCACTGGAGACAGTTCCAGGGCAGAATGTACACACAGACCTGCATCTTTTCATCTGCTGGATAGTGTTCCACGGCTCACAGAACCCTCCCTTCACTACGTTGGTTGCACTGTTTCTCTCCAGTGTTGATTTCATCCCCCTGAGTCCTGAAGGGATGTGACCAGAAGAAGTGGGGCCCTGCAGAGCTGTCCTAAGGGGTCTCACTGCCCCCTAATCCAAGCCCTACATATTGCTGAATTCCTCTTCCTAGATTCCACTCTGATCATATCAGTTCCTGATGCTTCCAAGGTCAAGTTCTGACTCCACTCCTCTGACCTTGGCAGAGTCGCCTAGTTGCCCACCAAATACCAGTCTCCTCTTTCTTCCTTATAAATGGATAGCTTAGTGGCAATGGCCCAGGATGGAAAATTACATTTTCCAGCCTTTCTTACAGCTAGGGGTGGCCACACAGCCAGCAGGAGGCAGGCAGAAGTGTTGGGCAGAGCTTCCAAGAAAAAGGACAGACTTAGGAGGCAAATGCCTTTTCCTCTTCTCTGCTCCTTCTTCTTGCCTGGACTGGAGCTGTGAGGGCTACAGTCACAGCAGTAAGGTTTTAAGGACAACAGAATCACCACACTGGTCCCCACTCCTCCAGATTTAGTTTACATGATAAACAAGCCCTATTGTGTTAAAGCCACTGTTGTGAAGGGGGGCAGGTCTCTGTTTCTCTAAGCTGATTCAATTCTAACTGAAATAAAGCCAAATTCTCTGTCTAGCCCTGTTGCCACGGTGCTCCACACATGGGCCCCATTCTTCAGCTAGCTGAACCCCTGACTGCCCTCTCCCCCATATCCTGTCTTCTACCTCTGGGCCTCTGCTCATGCTGTGCATCCCCCCTGCAGTGAATTCTCTGTGTGTACCCATCTCCAATTATGAAAGTCCTACCTAGCCCCCAAAATATAGTTCAGTATCAGCCCCTTTAGGAAGCTATTCTCAATGTCCACACTTCTCCCAATTAAATTCAATCATTTCTTCAACAAATATTTTTGTGCTCCTACTATGTGTCAGGTTCTGTGCTAGGTGCTGGGAAACATGACAGTGGATGGGACTGTTCCTTCTAAGCTTACATTCTAGCTGGGGAGACAGGCCAAAAACAATTCAACAGACACACAAACAATCAGATGGTGTTGAGTGCTATGTCAATAGGGTGACAGGGCAGGGAGGGGTGGCAGGCTGAGGCTGCTTACAGAGGGTGGTCAGAGAGGCCCTTCAGAGGAGGAGACATCTGAGTTGAAACTTGGCTGTCAGAGGCAGATGACCCTGCAAAGAGCGGGGAGGTTCCAAGCAGAGAGGACACTAGGGGTAAAGGCCTAACAGAGGGAATGAGTGTGGACACCTGAGGAATCTAAGAAGGCAGTGTGGACGGAGCCTTGTGAGTCCGCAGCAGAAAGGCGGGGGG